TAATGAATGAGAGTTCCTGTTGCTCTACATCCTCACCAGTGTTTGGCATCTGTTGTTTCATTTGATTTCAGAGATCATGAATTATACCAAAAATCTCAGGTTCAGAAATCCAGAGAGAGAGAGAAGCTGGTGGCCACTCATTCAGGGACATTACTGGGAAGCGCTTTGGTTGAGTCTAAATTAGTCTCAAATTCTTGCTTTTTAAACTTGAGAAGGCAGTTTGCTACTACCTTCCTCAGCCACACTGAGGGGGCCTTGCACCCTTGAAAACAACCCAGGAAATGCATACTGCAGTGGCAAAGTGAGGCAGTGGTTGCCTGGAGTTGGGACTAATAGCTGGGCCTCTAGCAGCAGTCCTGGACTGTGAGGTAATTCGAGAAGGAGAGGGGCAGACTAGACGGCAGAGCAGAAGATGGGCACCCAGGATCCTACAGATCAGTTAGGTCCCTGCACCAGTGTGGTCTGCCCACCTCCAAACTTCTGGTCATCAGAGAGAAATAAAATTCTACTTTATTTAAGCCCATGTGGGTTAATTTTTGCCAGGGGCAAGGCTGGAGGTTGGTCTTTTGGTCATTTGCAGCTGAACCTAATTCTAGCAGGTATGAGTGGTTCCATGGTTTGGCACAATGTAAGCCTGTCCTCCAACCTGGGGGCCTGGAATGCTCAAGGGTGTTAGGTGACACCAGGAGGTGGTGTAAGTTACAGAGGGCAGGAGAGAGGAGAGGTGGCCTGGGGACAGCACCTACCCTGTACCCCACCCTTGTTCCCAGAATAAATGGACCAGGGGCTGAGAGAGACTGTGCATGGGTTATGTGGGTGCGTTTTGTGGGTGTGTGTGGGGAAGATGTGTGTTTATATGGTGTGTGTATGGGTGATGGGTATATCTGGTCTGTGTATGAGTGGGTATTCATGTGTGTGTGGTGGATAGATATAAGGTAATGTTGGGGGCATATATGTGTGTATAAGTGGGCATGGATATATGGGTGTGTGATGGGTGGGTATATGAGTGTATATGTGTGTGGGTGGATACCTGAGTGTATGTGCTTAGGGTTGGGTATAGGTGTATATGTGTGGGGGTGGATATATGGGTGTATGTATGTGCAGGCTGGGTTATAGCAAGGCGGGAAGGAAGGTTTTAGGGGAACCAAAGGGAGGGCTTCAGTTCAGAGTGAATAGGGAGAAGGAGAAAATGAATGGCTGTCAGGACAGATTGCACAGCATAGAAGGAATAAAAAGAAGATTCGGAAAGAATGTGGGGAGAGCAGGAGGTGGGGATGAAAGGCCAAGAACAGTGAGTGGGTCAGAACTCATAGAGCTGCTGCTGGATGCTCCTCTCTGAGGGAGAGGCAGCACCAGTGTGTGGAGAGCACCAGCTGTCTTGCTCACACTATTGTTGGGGCAATGAGGTACGTGCTTTTAAAATGTGGATGTGGTAAGATTTTGTATTTTCCCCATATACATGAATCCCTTTGATATATCAGTCCCTTGTCATAAGACCAATTGCTTCCCTTTGCCTTGTCTTTTCCCCAGTCTGCAAGGCAGGCGGGTCGGGCGGGTCTCCTGTCCCTCTCCCCAGCCGCCCCCACCCATCCGCTGTCTTTATCTCCCCAACCTGGGCCTTGCTGGACCTAAAACAAGGGGCCACCCTGACCTCAGAGCTCCACAGGGTTCTTCCTTCTGTCTGTGACATTGTCTCCCCCTCACCTTTCTTCCATGCTGTTTATACCACCTGGTATCATGCTGTCCTGTAGTTTATTGTTCTGTGCTTTGTTTATTTCTACTCTAAACAGTTATCTCCATAAGACCAGGACTTCAGTCTCTTTTGTTCACTGCTGAACCCACAGCATTTAGAACAGTGCCTGGTGTTCAGTCACTATTTGTTATGCAAATACAAATTTTAAACAACTAAAGCTAAAGCCAGTTGACTAAAGCCAGCAATATTAAACCAAGTTTAAGTACAAAAGTGCTGAGGGAATTTGACTAATCAGAGTCAGTAAGATAAGAAACAGTAAGATTTTAAGCCTCCCCTAAATGTCATGAGCCCCCAGGGCTCAGTCTGATGGGCTGGTAGTTTGATTTCCTTAAGGAACCAGCACCACCCACAAGGCGGATTGGGAACACCCCTCCTGTGGCCCTGTGTGGTTCTCAGACACTGTCAGAGAACCAGGACCCAGGCAGATGGCGCTGCTGGGCCCTCCCAAGGCTGACAGCCTGAATGCTTGATAGTGACTTTTTTGAGGGGTGTTGAGGGGGGAGAACAAGAACAGAGTCCTGTGGACACTGCTCCCCATCCTCTTACCCTAAGGCCAGGGTGGGACTTGGCGGGTGAGTAAAAGGGATGACAGGCCTGGGGCAGCAGGAGGTCCTTGGGATGCATGTGGCTTTCCCATTTCCTGTAGATGGTGCCAGAAGGGTGGCGTTACATGAAGCAACAGATTCTGAGGCACAGATGGAAAAGTCACTTTTATTTTGGTCCTGATGCTTTTCTTCCCCTGCCTTCCCCAAAAGCATCCATTAAGTTCCAGCATCCCCACCAACAGGGACGTTTTCAGACTCACTCTGGCATCTAAAAAGGCCCAGGGCCCAACACTGCCCTGGGGAATTGCCTCAAATGCCTGTGCCAGGATGGGGTGGGGGCGTGGGCGTGGAGAAATTGAGTGAGGGAGATGGAGCTGGCAGCCGCGTGTCTGAGCACTCTTGGGTCAGCTCTCTAGAAAATCCTCATTTGGTACCAACAGCACTCAGGAAAATCTGAGCACATGGCCTTCTTATAGGCAGTGTTTATTACGGGCTCCTGAGTGCCTGTTGTCACTTAACCAACTTCCAGAGCTGCTGATAGGGACTGATTTATCTCGTAATATCCCAGGGCCCTCTTCTGAAATTGCTTCTTACACATCAGCCTGGGTCAGGGTGTGGTGAAGAGAAATGATGGGATAGGAGCAGGAAAAGGCCACAAAGGCACTTGAAGCTGGCAGGATCTGCTCTGCCACTCTCACAGGGTTTTAAAGCAGCAGATGCACCTTTGTGGGTTAAGGTGGGAGTGAGGGGTGGTTGCACGCAGCACCCTTTGGGGTCCTACTCTGCTAGCAGGATGTTCCCGCCCAGCTGGGCCTTCCAGGGCCTCACCCTAGGTTGATTCTCTTTCCACACATGTCTTCCCCTCCCTGGAAAGTTCATTGACCCACCTACACATGCATGCATGTCTGCATACAGTCCCCCCAAGGGCCCTGATAAACAGCTGTCTCTGGAGTGGAATCTCACTGTGTTTTTCTTCTGGAAGACTGCGTTCTTCCCAGCTCATTTGTGGAGTGGGCAAGGGGTATCATTACTGTGCTTTTACTTGTTAGGTTGCCCGAGAGGAAAAAAACAGTTTTTCCTCCTCCAAGAGTCTAATTACCTAATTACTTGTTGGGTGAGCCCCGACCTGTATACATTTCCAAAGAGAGAGATACTTGATGCCGGCTGAAGAAATGTCCTTGGCCAGGATTCAGAGACCCTCTGCCTGCCATGCCACCATCTGTTGACTGCAGCCATACCAGGCTGTTGGTCAGACTTCTCAGTGAGTTCAGGATGCTCTATTTCTTGCCCGGGGTCACTGGACATGCCATGCTCATTCATGCCTCTCTGCCTGTCATTTCTGACCCTTTGCCAGGCGTGTGCTGCTTTTCCATTTACCTGTGCTATGGTCCTTGCCTTCCCTCTCCCTCAATTAATTCCCCCTCCTCTGAACAAGCTCTGCATTTTTTACCTCCTTTGGTCTTAAACACACCCTTTTAGTTATTTGTCTGCCTGGCTCATCTTCCTCCTAGACTGTGAGCTACCTGAGAACAAGGTCACCACTGGATCACCTTTTTATCTTTAGTGCCTAGCATGGTTCCTGCCCGTGGTGGGATCCACTGAGGTGAACATTTAAAAGGGAAAAGAGAAGGTTTAAATTGTGCTGTTAACATGCCCCTCGCCCAGCTCCAAGTTCTTGATTCTGATGCCTCACCTGTTGTCGAATTCCACATGTGCTCTGTACCCTACGAGCTTATCTTGTGACTTGTTTTCAATTTCCCTCTTAGTCTGTATACTTAGGTTTATTTGGGATTCCTGCCACTCATTCATGCATTCACTCCTCCAGGCACTGGGTGTGCAGGATGAGCAGCACAGACATGGCCCCAGCCCCCAAGGAATTTTCATTCTAGAAGGGAAAGACAGACCAGAAGCAAGTACATCAATATATAAGATAATGGAGAGGAATGATAGGGTGGAGACCTGAACTCTGTCTCTTGATGCCCAAGAGCTTGTGGGACGGGAGGAGATATTGTTGCCACCAACTCTAGGAAATGTGTTCAGCCTTATTGTTTTTTATTTTTCCATTTTCCGAGTTCTGAAAATGTCCTTAAGTAGTCTGACAGAAGAAAAGGCCCTGAGTACCTAAAGTTTTCCCTCTTTGTTGATGTGGTCAGATTATTGTTCATTTTTGCTAAACTAGTTGAGAGACAGAATAGTAGCTTGGCCTCCTGAGAAGACACCTCCCTGGCTGCAAGGAGTGCCCAGCAGGAACGGTGGACCTGGGAACACCCAGATGTAGCAAGGGCAACGTCGTGTCAGCAGCAGGCTCGGAGCTGACCTCAGCCCTTAGCAGCAGAGAGCCTGCAGGTGCTGAGACGCATGTCTTCTGAGTCTTGTAGTTTTGAGGCCTCTGTTTCAGGACTCTTTACCTGGGTCAGCTTTGGGGCAGCTCAGCATCCTGATAGCTGCCTGATAAAATTAGGGCTCTCATCACCCCTGGGCCTTCACATTTCAAGGTGGCCATAGCTTGAAGACTGGAGCATGAATTTCCAGGTTCCCAAACCTCCAGTGTCTGAAAACCACTGGCTGCACTCCTGTAGGGTCAGAGAACGCAGAAAGTGGTCCCCTTGGGCCAGGGTTGTCACGTCCAACACTCCTGTGGGAATAGTGTGTCCTTTCCTCCTCTGGCTGCTCTAAACCTCTGCTCTCCTTTGGCCTGACAGGTGAAGCCATGTGTATGTGGTGCCCCTCACTGCAAGAGGTCACAGAGGCCTTTTATAGCCTGGGAGCCCTCAACCCTGCCGTGTACCCCGTGGGGCCCTGTCAGCACAGCGGGGAGGTGAGTACTTCCCCTTCCTGACCTCAGTCCAAACAATTCAAATTGTCTCCAGTAAATTTGCACAGGTTTTCCACACCAATTACATTGCATAAAAATGCTGAAAAGCAAAGCATTACAGAAAGAAAGATACTTCTAAGCATGTATTTTCATGCTAGGAAATACAAATTTAAAGTTTCCTATTCTATAGATGTAATGCAACTGGCCATTTATTGTGCAGAGCTGTTGATTTCATCATCATTTATGATATGCATCCTCAGTTCAGTGAGCATTTATAAGTTAGAAAATGGTAAGATTTCCTCTATTATTATATAAAGTTATATACATTTTTTAAAGTTAAAAGAGAAAGTCATTAAACTCAGGCTCTAGTTCACACAGTAAAGTGGTCCGAGGGAATTACAGAAAACCACACAAGTACCTGTGACTGTAAATACCACACCAGGAGGCGTGTGAATTACCATGCTCCCAGCCTCGCGGGGGGGCCGGGAGGGCGCGCGGAGTCTTGCTGCTTTGGCTGACATATCTTCCTGCTGCTTCCTGACTCAGAGCTCTCACTGCCCCTCCTCTTCCAGGACATGTCCCAGTCACTTTGGTCTAATTCCACACCTCTTTTGGCCCATTACTTAATATCAACTCAGGGCCAGCAAAACACAGTTTTACATGTAATTTCCACAATGCTCAATTTTGTTCTGTGGGTACCTCCCTTGTGCATTGGGCTGGTATAGGATTGGGGTACAGGGGGATGATAATGCTGGAGGAACAGAGCCATGCAGTACATAAATGACTCTTGCTGGGTGGATGGCAACTAGAGCTGAGTTGTAAAAGTGTCACATATCATAAGCTTGTTCCACAAATTACAGCACATCCAAACTCTTTCTTGAGAATTCTTTGAGAAGTTAATCTGAGATATAATAGAGTGTTAAGAGCCCTGGACGGGTTGTTATATGGGCTCCTTGCCCCCTCCGCCTCCTGCCAACAACCCCAGGAGGTGCTGGGACACCTTCCCTTGCTGGGATGGGCAGATGTTCCTCTGCGCGGAAGGCCAAAGCTTTCTTAAGAACCTGTTCCACAACTGTGTTTAGTAATTGACTGCCAAACCAAACCAGACCAAGCCACACTCACTCTGCTATAAATACCCTGTGTATGTGCCAGCCTGCCGCTCCTGCCCCCGCCTCCTTTCAGAGTTCCATATCTGGTGTAATAAGCCGCTTGCCTCTGCCCCAACACAGAGCTTCAAACACACCACCTTCTAGGAAGAGTTGGGGGAAGAATTACACTCAGAAAAACAAATTCACATCGGTGGAGTGGGGTGGGGGAGGTTTCTGGGGTCCTATAGGGTTCTGAAAAGCCACTTCTAATTATTGTGATTTGCACCCAGTGTCCACCTGGAAAGTGGGTGATGGCACTGGAGGCTTATAACTTCCCAGTTCACTCTGCACTCTACAAAAAGCTACCTTCCCCCTTCCCCCAGGATTGGATGGCTTCTGGCCCCTTGGGCTTCAGGACAAATCCACATCTCTGGAGGCCGTGGAACAGATGGGCATTAAACTGTGGCCATTTAAACATGTCATCTCAAATACATGGGAACACAAGCCTTAGCTTGGAGACTTCCAGCTTTATCAGGCACAGTTAGCCCTGGGTAGGAGGAAGACAAAACCGCATGTTGTCCCAGGACAAGGCTGAGAGTGCTTCCCAGATGTGCTGTTTGGATGCCCCTGCCTCTTTCCCTGGGCCCCACATCTTGGGCTGGCTGTTGGCACTGTTTCCCTGTGGAGTATTCAGAACTGGCCCAGAGGATCTGGCCACTGGCTGCAGTTATGATTTCCCTATTGTGCTTTTTAAGAGCAGGCTGTGGCCACCTGCAAAGCCACTTGGAGGGGTGGGGTGAGGGGTTGTGTCAGAATACAGCCTCATTTTGAGAAGCAGTCAAACATGCCCTGAGACCCCTGCAATGACCTTCCCACACTGTGCGGGAGCAGAGGTGCATAGGTGGTCCTCCAGGGTTGCTCTGCTTGGGGAAGCTCTGGGAGTCATGGGCTCGGAAGACAACTCCTCTGGAATATTCAGGAAGCACCACAAAGGTTCTGACATCTCCTCAACCAAGGATATAGCATCCATCATGGAGACGTGGGCCACACCCATGCCAGATGGCTCCGTGTCAGGCACTTCTCTGTTGACTTCCAGGGATGTCCCCTCCAAGGCTCCCCTGGCAGAACAGATACTTTGGGGCTCCTCCAGGGCACCTAAAAGCCTTGTAATGGCCCATGCTGGACTTGAGGAGCTGGGATGTCTGCACATGGCCCCACAGCTTGGCTGTCTCTCTCTCACTGCTATGAGAAGAGGGGGGATCTCTCACCATTTGTTCTTCATCTCAGTTTCCCTACAACCGCCACCATCTCGTCAGATGCTCCAAAGTTTCCCTTCAGAAAGATGGAGCCCTTCTGCCTCAGGACTGTTCAGATGGTCAGATGTCCACCTTGTTGCAGATAAAGTAGCCCAATGCCCAGGGAAGAGGCTGGGGAGGAAGAAATTGGGAATGTCTGGGGGTGAAAGGGCAGAAGAAGAGGAATCAGAATGAGCCCTGGAAGCAAGAGCTCCAGTGCCTCAGAGGGCAGGTGCCCCCAGTGACGTGCATACCATTCGCCAGATGCCCGCAGTCCCACCTGGGAAGGGAGGGAAGGTCTTTAGGTAATGGTGAGTGATCTTCCAGGGCTGCTCCCTGACCACAAGACCCAGCTGAAGAGCCCTGCCCAGATACACAGCACTGGTACCTGAAGACCAGCATCCCGCCGCTGGTGCCTGCTGCTGGAAGCCTGTACCACTTGGTTCTTGAAAGGGTAGCCTGACGCAGAGGCCAAATGGGTAAATAAAGTCATTAATCCATTGAAAGGAAGGCTTGTCAAGTGTGGGGCTGGTTGATAACTGACCATCTTGGGACAGCGTAAGTCGATCCAGGTAAAAACCCTTCTCTCCCTTTCCATTAGCTTAGCATTGATTCCTCTTTATTGCAATGACCTTGACCCATAAAGCCGAAATAACAGGCCTGCCTCAGTTTAGTGTACAGGCCTGGGGACAGCACCCTACTCAGCCTGCATGGTAGGCCCACTGACCTCTGGGCCCTTCAGAAAGGCTCTTGGTTAGGGAGGTGGCAGCTCCTGTATGCTCTCTCACTGTCTGCCTGTAAGAGTGGCAGGGCACTGTACAGACATCCCAGACTCCAGCTCCTGGATGTTGGCCACGGGCTGCGAGTCTTAATACAGCCAGCAGGGCCAGAGCTCCAGGGCAGGGCTGGGCAGGCAAAGCTGCTTGCTCAGGGAGTCTTCTGGCAGGAACTTTGTCCCCCTCTTAACCTGCTGAGTCCAGGACGGGGGGTGGGCTGGTTAGGCTGTGAGTCCTGTGCTTCGTAGCCTCCTGCTGGGAGCAGCAGTGGAGGGCTGGGGATTGGCTAATGGTGCATCCCAGGGGAGCAGGCCCACATCAGTGGAATGGTTCCTGCAGAAGGCAGGGAATAGAGGACCCCGTTATATTGCCTGCTGTTCCCAAGGAGAGCCAGCCCAGGGCAGTGCTGGAGCTCAGCCAGGAGGCTGTCTGCCCTCTCTACTGGGGAAGGTTGGCATTCCCCCCGGGGAGGAGAGGGCTCTAGTCCAGGCACACTTCCCCTCCCAGCTTGGAGAAGATGCATCAGCCTCTCACGTTTTCTACACTCCTCCCTGGTACAGCGCCAACCCGTCTGGAAGCCCGTTCCTCTTCAGCAGAGTCACGAAGTCGACTCTGGCCACTCCCACCTTTGGGAAATCTGAAAGCATTCCCACCCATGCTCGCATGCCCTGTGCGCACTGATGGGCTGGCACAAAGCAGAACTTCCCCTCATACTGACACTGGCCCAGTGTGTGCCCACATGTGCAAACACCAGCCTCACCCATTCTCTGGCCCTGATAAATGCTAAAATCTAGAAGAATGTCTGAGCCCAGTCCTGGCTGCCTCCTGGGCCCCACCAACTTTGGTTTGTTGGCACCAGGTACCTAGAGATGGATTTGTTCTCCGCCCCTCTGAGGAGCAGCACCAGTGCCAAGAAGTAAAGAGGCACAGAGGCTTTCCACTGGATGCAGGAACTGCGCTCTTCCCTTGCCAGTTGCGGGTAACCACATTGTCCCTGTCAACAGCATTGTCGGTATCTTCGTTTAGAGAGAGCCCGCTGTTACTAGGAATTCCAAGCTAGTTAATAATAATGGAGAAGTGGATGAGGCAGCAAAGGGGCCTTGGCATAAACTCACCTCATTCATTTGAAGTCAACGATATACATTTGGCCTGAGAGAGAGAGAGGTCTTGCTCAGCTTTTACCCAGTGAGCATGTTCATTGTGTGGGAAGTGCTCTGGGGCTCTGCTGTCCACTGATGCCTCTCTCTCTGCCAGGATCTTGCACCCTGAGTGTGACTTTGGTCTTTTAAAGCAGGCTTTTTAAAAATTTCATATGATCATGGCCTCTTAACTTCACCTGGGCTCAATACCAGATCTGTTTCCTCACTAGAGGAAACTGGCCATGCTGGGCTTGGTGGTAGGCAGCATGTCAGTGTGACGTCTTTGAAAGGGTTTTCAAGGATCATTTGTACTCTGATCATCTGATTTTCATCTTTCTTTATAACGTTGGAAATTAACCCTAACGTAAGCTACAGCGTAGTGTATTTTTCAGTGCATGCGAAGAGTTGGCATACCCATATGGACACAGAACTCTTTTGAGTAAGACTCTTCTGGGCAATAGAATATGATTTTCTGGTTTCCAATTCCCTGAAAACTACAGCTGGAGGCCTGACCCAAAGGGCAGCACTGGGGAGGCAGCCCCTGAGAGGCCCCCAGGGGTCCCCATCACCTGTATTCACCCCCTCGTGCATCCCTCTACCGTGCTGAGTCAGGCTGGCCTGTGTGGCCAGTAGAAATCAGCAGCAGTGATGGGATGTCACTTCCAAGAACAGGTTATAACAAGTTCAGCTTCTGTCTCGGGTGTTCTCCCTTGGGTCACTCACCCTGGGGGAAGCCAGCTGCCATGTTGAGGCACCTGTGGAGAAGCCCACTTGGCAGAGAGCTGAGGCCTGCTGATGACCCAGTGAATGGACTTGGATCAGTTCCTCCAGGGAAGATGGATGGTGGCAGCCTCTCCCCCAACATCTTGGGGGTGGTCTCCCAAGAGACCCTAAGCCAGAAGCACCCAGCTAAACTGCTCCTGGATTCTTGACCCTCAGAAACTGAGTGAGATAATAAACCATTGTTGTTTTTAAGCCTCTACATGTTGGGGTGATTTGTCACACAGCAGTAGATGACCAGCACACATAGGGCCTGTGTCCCAGGCTGAATGGGTCGTCCATGGCCTCTGTGTTCTCAAGCAAGTGCCCATCTCCCTCTGCCTGAGTTCTCCCCTGTGCCCACCTCATCCTGTTTCCTTCCCTTTGTTTTCCTCTTACCTTAGGGAGCTTTAGAGTGATGCTAGCCTGAGCTGGAGTGAGCAGCAGAACACCCCCTTAGAAACCACCTTGGACATCAGCCTGAACTACATCTACAAGGTGAGTCAAACACCCATCAGATCTACTCAGCCACTTATATACCATTGAGCACCTACAGTGTTCTGCTCCATTGCGGGCACTGTGCTGGCTGCCAGGACTGATGCCATGGAAACCTCACCCCCTCCACGCCTGAGCCTGCCACCCAAAGACCCCAGGGGGACCCGGACTCCAGGCCTTGCTGCTTATTTTTCTTAGCACCTCTCGAGCATGGCCACGGGGGCCCAGTGCCATCCCCTGCTGCCCTGACCTGTCTCCCAGGAAGGCTGCTTCTGCCCCAGTGTTCTTTCTCCTCTCCAGGTCCTGACACTGGGTGCTCTGGCCCAGCCAGGGGCCTACGTCCATGGGAACCTCTTGAGCCTGATTGAACTGCTCTGCCGAGCCGGCCTGGACGTGGGGCTCCAACTGCTGCCCAAGACCAACCTCCAGCAGCTCCTGTTTCTGCTCCTTGATGACACCCAGCAATGGCCAGTGAAGGTACTATGAACCCCTAAGCTGAAGCCAAAGGCCCTAGCCTCATCTGTAAGGTCCTGAGGGCTCCCCACATGGCCTTGTCACCAGGGACTGAAGTTGTCCCTAGAGCGCCCTTGATAGGGTTGGCCCCAGGGAACACTTCCTCCTGTTCCTCTTACCCTCCAAGGGGTTCCCCAAGTGGGCTGGCGGAGAGGTCAGGGGGGAGGCTGGCGCTTCCTGCAGCCCAAGAGGGTGCTTATGTCCCTGCAGCTCCATCAGTCGTGCCACAGCCTGAGCTGGGTGTCAGATCACCACCACAACCGACTGGTGCTTGTGCAGTTTTTCCTGGATGTGACTCCCCGGAACAGGTGGGTGCTCTTCCCCCTCTGCCTCCTCCCTCTGGCACTCATCTGGGCCCTGTGACAGGGTGGGATGGATGCAGAATCATGCCCAGGAGTCCCAGCAAACCTCTCCCTCCCACCAGATTGCTAAAATCCCAGAAAAAGAACTAAAAATACAAGTCACTAATGAGTTCAATACAAACAGAAAAACGCCTTAATTTTCTTACCATAGTCTTACTAGCGGTACAATTGCCTTGCACAGTTAGCTCTGACAGCAGTTTCCCGCCCTCCTCTCCGCCTTCCCCCTCAGTCCCTGGTTGAGGATTCCTGCTTGTCGGTCCGACCTCAGCTGCACTGGGTCCCCTAACCACCCCTCTCCCAGCTGCTCTCCCAAACTCTCCATTCATAATTTGGTTCCTTTTTCTGCACAGCACTGATCTCTGTCAGAAATTACCTTGCTGTTAGTTCCTTGTTTATGGCCGTCTCTCCCTCATGTTACCTCCAGGAGAGTGACCCTTATTGGGGTCACTGCATATCACCCCACATATGGAACAGTGCCTGACATGCTGTTGGCTCTTTATGAATTCTTTTTGAATGAATGCACAAGGTGAAAAAACAAATCAGCCCGGGGGGTGACCAGACCTGGCTTGTCTCAGCTCCTTCCTTCCTTCTCCCACTTCAGGCTGCAGCCAGAGCCTCAGCCAAGGGAATTCTTTGTGTTTCCTGAGCTGTTCATTCCCTCCCCATCTCCTCTCCTCTCCAGCCTACCCATTTGCAGCTTCTCCCACCTAGGATGACCCCCTTGCCACCAGGCCTGTCCTGGGGCCCTCTTCAGGAAGACCCCTGCTTCACAGGCGTGGGGCCACTCCACTGCGACTCCCTCCCCAGGGGTGGCTTCCAGGAGTAGGCTTGGGGTTCAGACTCAAATTTCCAGGTTTCCACCAGGTTCAATCATTTTGAGTCAACTGCAGTTCTGAGATGGGGAGCTCAGTTTCTTTCCTGTGAATCTGGCTGAAAGAGAGGAGGCCTGTCCACAATCCTGAAAGGGAAGTTTTGTTCTGTATTTGAAAGAACTGGGCTTCTGGAAGCTTTATCTGAGACGTCAGGTGTGAGTACCAGAGCAGTGAGTGCCTCAGTGGGCACCATCACCATTAAACCCAAACCCCTGGGACTTCTTTGCATTTGATCTGAAGAGGCTGACCTCTGCCTCCAGGCTCCCTGCTCAGCCCTGAACAGCTAACACATTCTACTGCACAAATTAGAAACCACAGTCCTGGAGGTTTCTCCCATGCTCACCTCCTTAGCTCATCCCTAAACTCTTTCCTTTTTGCCTTTTGAATTCTAAATTCCTATTTATGGTTGCTTCTCCATGTCAGCTCCATGAGAACAGGTGCTTTATTTGTGTTGCTTCAAATCAGTCTCCTCTTTCCCAGCCACTTCCAGATTTTACCACCTCTCACCTGGATGGCAGCAGTGGCATTCTGTCCCTTCCTTCTCTCTCAAAATCTGTCTGTTGTGTGGATACCTGTGATTATCACATCACGGCCTTGCCGGCTTCCCTTCACCTGCACAACCAAGTCTACATGCCTAAACCTGGCGTCTGAGATCCCACATCATACAGCCCTAGTTCTCATTTGCTCCAACCAGCCTGCTTATTTGTATTTGTTTCTCTCCATTTCATATATTATATATACATGCATGTATATGTTTATAGTTTGTGTGTCTGTGATGAACCTTATTCTTTTTCACAGTTGCATAGTATTCTCCAGCATGTGCCCACCCACACTGCTATTCTGGATATTCATCCAGAATATAAGCTTTGCAGTCCATGCAAATATTTCTATAGGATAAATTCTTTGAAGTGGGATGGCAGTCCTAAAATACATATACTTAAAATTTGGCCTCCAAAAATAAAGCTGTGTCAATTAGTAATACCACCAGGTGGACATGAAAATGCCTGTTTCTTCATATTCTCATTAATACTATGTATTCTCCATTTTGTTTTTAAGTTTTAGTAAATCTATTCGGTGAAAAATATCATCGTGTGGTTCTAATTTTCATTCCCCTGATTGCCAGTGAAATTGAGAATCTTCTTACATGTTTTATTGGCCTTTTATGTTTCTCTTATTGTAAATTATCTCTTGCTGTTCCTTCTCCATGTTCTATTGGGTAACTATTCTTACTATATTGGTTTACAAATTGCTGCTGCTTATATGTTTCAGACACTGTATTTCCTCCTAAGACTGTAGATCATCCTTTTTAAACTTTTGTGCATGGTATCTTTCTGTGAACTAAAGTTATTTTTACTTTTTCAATAAAATTCATTTGAGAATAGATTTAAATTTACAGTAAAGTTACATGGATAATACAGAGAGTTGTACTTGAACCTTTCTGTCTTGAAAAGGAAGGCCTCCTCGCCCCAAGATCATAAAAAAATATTGTATTCTATTTTCTTCCAGCATTTTTATATGACTTGGTTTCTGTTGGTGTTTAATCCCACTGGAATCTATTTTATTTTAAGTATGACACAGGGTTCTAACTTGGTTTTTTCCACCTCCAAAGACCCAATAGACCCAACACCAATTTTTTATCTTAAAAATCCATCCTTTCCTAACACTTCAGAAGCTGCCTTCATCATATCCTAAACTTACGATGTTGTTAATCTGTGAGCCTAGTCAGAAATCTGTGATTGCAGGAGTGAGTCTTTCACATGGTCTCCCTGTAGTTCCAGGGCATTCGGCCAGTGCTCCCTAAGGAACCAGGAGTGGCAGAATGGAAGAGCCTCACCTGTCTTTCAGATAGACACGTCACCAAGGGAAACCCCTCCCTCTGAGAACTTTGTTAGAAAGAGTGTTCATCACCCAGATGGGTGTCATTTATGCATTTACTTAGAAATTCTGTTTGATTTCTCTAAAGAGACAAAGCTTTCAAATAGCACAAAATTCAAAAGGCACCAAGGAGTACATACTAAAAATGTGCCCTGCCTCTGTGCCTGAGCCGCCGAGCCTGTCAACGTTGCTTGTCTGTGCTCGTGAGCATGTACTCCCCGCCCTTCTTTTCACTTCAAGGTATGTTTTGACAGTTGTTCCAAATTGGATTAGAAAGAGCTTCTAATTCTTTCACAGCCAACTTGACTGTATGTATTAACTGTGGTCTTTAGTTAGGCCCCCTCTCTGTGCTCCATGTGGTGGCAATGTTAGAGGAGCTTGTTGGTGGCCTTGTTCTGTCCTCACTGGTGGCTGCCTCACTGGGCTGTGTGCCCAGACTGACCACAGGACAGAGGGCATATTGTACCAGGGCCTGTCACATTCTCAGTCTGCTGACTGGTAAGCGCAAAGTAAGAACTCCCACCAACATCTGTGTGACCCCCTCCCTCTCAAACCACCTCATTGACCAAGATTTCAAGGGACACACTGTAAATTTAAGGCAAAATTAAGCTTAACCAGGAGAAATGAAAGTAAACGCTAAAGCAAATCACCTAAAATGGGGTGAATGGGGAGAGGAGGTTCTTAGAGGACAGTCATCTCAGGACAAGGCCCCTCTGGGGCAGCCCCAGGTTGCTGTTGGGAAGAGCATGAGCTATGCCAGCTTCTCTCCAGGGTTTTGCATGTATGTTCTGAGCAAACCTCTGCAGCCACCCTCACAGCCTGTTAGCAGGAATACAGAGGCCAACGGCCTCTTCCACTCCACTGAAAGGTGATGTTCCCAAGTTCCAGACACGTGCCTTCTTCACCACCCATGAATGTTTATGAAATATCCCATGCGTGCGGCTTCACCATGGCCTTCAGAGTAGATGGGAAGATTAAACCACCTGGACAGCCAGATTCTGACCGCAGGGAAAAGCTGGCTGATCAAACAAATGCAGGCAGCCCTTCATTTCTTCACAGCCTTCACAGTCAGTGGGTCTTTGCACACCAGGATGAATGGAGACGTGTGTAGGCACCCCTTAGCTTTCCCCAAAGCCCTCCTTGTTCCGTCTGTGTTCCACACTGGGTGGGAGCCCCTCAGTTTCCTCTGGGTGGGACAGGGTGCCTCACCTTCCTTGCCCCTAGTCTCGCTCTGCATCCAGGGCCTGGGCCATTCATCTCCCAGTCTGCCAGCCTCTCTTGCCATCATTTCCTGGGCTCTTTGCTCCACCATTAACTCCCTTTCTGCATGTTCTTTAGATCTGCCCACCCTGAAAACTGTATGGCTGTGTGGAATGGTACCACCACACATCCCTTGACCCCCAGCCTCTTACCCCATCAGGTTGCTCAGGAGCCACTCTGAGTCGTTGGCCAGGCTCCTTGGAGCCCTCGCCAGATTGCAGATTCCACCCCACTTCTGCTACTGGAACCTCTGCACTTCCAGCAGACAGCAGGGTCCCTGCTTTCTCCACTGCCTGCCATCCGTACCACAGAGACCTCATGGACCCACAACTGCCACCTTCCTTTTCTCTTTACCCCTCCTTCCACGTTCAGGATCCCGACAGCCCTGCCCTTCCTAAACCGTCCTTCGGCAGTCATCCCTTCTTATTCCTGTGTCTTTAGCTTTTTGTTTCCTAGTGGCTCTTTTACCTCAGCAAATAAACATGCTCCTGTGTTGTCTTCTCCATAGAACAAGGATTCTGTCTCCACCCACCCACCTCCAGCTCCTGGGGCCCTTCCAAACTCCCCTTCCCCAGTTTTCACCCCTTATCTGAACCCTGCCGCTGCTGCACACATACTGGATTCTTCAGAGCTCAGAGTGTTCTTGGGTGTTCTCACCTGAAGAAAAGACATTCAGCCCTCTGGGGGTGGACAAGGCCAGAACATTCTTGGAGAAAGCCAAGGGCCAAAAACCCTTAAGATTTCAGAAGAGCTCAAAGTCTGGAGGAACAAGAGGCAAGATGAAGGTCATGTGCAGAGGTCAGGGGTCTGTGACTGAAGCCAGGAGGCCTGCAGAGGGAAATAAGGGCCTGATGGAGCCCCACATGACACCCCACGTCTGGCACCAGCCACTCCACCTAAACTGTTCCCGTGACCGGAGGCCTTTCCTCATGAACAAGCCTCC